ATAAAAGGATCTATAGACATACTTGATTAGAATATAGTTAAAAAAATTAAATTAAAAATCAGTGTTGTTTTTATTACTTAAAGATGAAATTGCTTTGGCTTCAAAAAATTATTAATCAAAAGTTATATCTCATTTTTTTGTATAAGATAAAAATATTTTAAAAAGGTATCTAATAAAGCATATAATTTTTATGATTGATAAGTGATATTGAATTCAAAACTTAATAAAGACATGCTTTAATATGCTTGGTGAAAATTTGAAATACATGCTCACATAAAATATTCAAGGATCTAATGATCTATATAAAAAATCACTAGACATAAAGTGTCTTTTGAATAATAGTATTATTCTTGAAATGAAGTTCTTTTTTGTAGATCTTGTAATTTGTCTCAATTACTGAAAAGATTTTTGAATAAAAAGCTATTAAATGAAGTTTGTCATTTGCTCTCATTTGTAATAATATAGCACCCAAAGCAAAGTTTTATGTATTTAATTTTTGCAAAATAATGCCTTAAAAAAACATAACAATATAAGATTAGGATTGTAATAAGAACTCTCTTCAAAGCTTCAAATGTTGCTTCAACTTCTTTTTCTATTAAAGTTTGTTTTTACAAGTTAAATATATAGGTAGAATTGTAACTTGAGATTTGTTTTGATAAAAAATTAATAATAATTAAAAAATCTCAAAATAAATATTAAATATCTTTTATTGTTGATAAAACCTTTCAATCTATGATAGTTTAAATTTTCTTAGGATCTATTATAAGACCATAATTTAAAATAATGTATCCTAAGAAGTCAACTTGAGTTATATAAAATATATATTTTTCTATCTTAGTATAAAATCTTATTCCTCTATCTTTTTACAAAACACAACAAACATAAAGTCATATTACTTTATATTCTTAAAGTAGATTAAAATATTGTCCAAATAAAAAATAATAAGTTTACATAGAAAACCTTGAAGAAAATCATTTATTAGATGTTAAAAAATAGTTAATGCATTTATAAGTCTAAAAGGCATGATAATATATTTGAAATATTCATATCTAGTTTAAAATGTATTTTTTAAAATTACTTCTTTCTTTGATGCATATTAAGTTGTATTTTTTTAATAGATCTATTTTATATCAATCTTTTTCTTGGTTTAATTGATGAAAAAGCCTTGATATCAAAAGTAAAGGATACTTATTTTTGATAGTAATCTTATTGAGTCCTTAATAATATACATACATCTGCAATAACCTAACTTTTTTTTTCTCAACAATTAAGATATGAATTCTTATTAGATATTTTAAATGATGTATGAATTTTTTTTCTTAATTTTTATTAATATATTCCTTAAGTATAGCCAATTTATTTTATAATAAGCTATAGATTGATTAAAGTAGTTATTTAGGTTGTGCTTAAAGTTTAATTGAATAATTATAAGGACAATGATTTCAAATGATATCTTCATTATTTTTTTCAAAAAAATCTTGATAATCTTTATATTGGCTCAAAATGCTATTTGAAATATTTTTATTATAAAAAATATATGTAACATAAATAGCAAAAGATAAAGTTTTTTTTTGCAACATACATGAAAGCACTTGTATCTATCAATAAGAATTTTGTTGTATTAGACTTATGACTTTCCATTTAATTAATAGATGTTAAGATTATGCTATAAAATAAATAAAGATTATGAGAATTTTATTTTATTTAAAGATTGATTTTTGAAGCAAAAATAAGTTTAAAATAATTATGTTAAAAGACTATATAATATTAATAAATATTATAAAATTATTATGACCATTATAAATCTTATTTTGTAACTATATTGCTTCTTTGAACAATGTAATAAGGATATGAATTACAAACAAAAAAATCCTTAATATACTCTGGTATTATTAGAAAAGAATAGGTATTTATTCAAAGATAGAATAGTATTAAAATTAAAATGACTATTTATAAAACTAAGAAAGGTATTTATTCAAAGATAGAGTAGTATTAAAATTAAAATGACTATTTATAAAGCTAAGAAAGGTATTAACAAACATGAAGAAGGCTTCTTTCTTACCTCCATACATACTATATAATTAAAAGTTGCATGATAATATTCTATAGAACCTCCAATAGATATCCAACTTGTAAAACACATGTTTAACTTAAAAGAAAAAATTTCTATATGTACACTAGATGGCCAAATTGTACCACAAGTTACTAACATGTGCAACACATGGTTAACTTATTCATCAAGTTTTTAACCTATTAATCAATTCCAAATATATATAAAATGAAATTCATATCTATAAAGCTTTTAAGAAGTTTTTTTATAAAAAAATATCAATTCTACTTATATTTAATTTCTAATTAATACTTTTTATTTAAGTAATTATGTATATCTATAGCATTATTCTTTCTTTTCAAGGATAAATTCCACAAAGAGTAATTATTATATATTAAAGAAGTCAAAGTTGTAGTGTATTATATTTGCTATACATTTTTATCTTTGTTTTTTTTAAAGGTAGTTGATAGATCCTTTCAGCCATTGATAGTGTCTCATACTAGGACAAAAAGATAGCCTTGGTATTTGATCATTATTGAGACTTTTGTAACTTCTTTAAAAATAAATATTTAAAATAATATCAAGAGCGGTTCTACCTTTAATAATATTAACAAATATCGAGAGTCTCTTTTAAGATTGTGATACTAAATATATTATATTTCACCATCTATTTGAAAAAAAAACATGTTCTTGAAGGTCTTGAAGGCTAAAACAATGTTAATATTTTATTCAATAATTGAAAAAAAATAATAACTTTTGAGTTGAATATGCTTATAGTTGATTCATCTATATCTTTAGTACTAAAAAACTATAAATAAAGATAGAAAATGAAATAAAATCTTTATTTATTTTTATTTTTATTATAATAAGTTGTTTTTTAAAAAAAATTAAAAATTTTAATGGATGTTATTGATGAAAAGCATAAATCTTCTTTACTACATTTGTAAGATTCTTAATTGGTTTCAATGTGTGTTCACTAATATCATATCCATATTAAAGTATAAGACATTCTAACCTATTCTAGCATTGCCTTAAGTCTAAGATTTTTTTAAACTTAAATCTTCATTATTATCCATATCTATAAGAGGTGGCATTTATCTTATTTTGGATATATCTACCATCTTCTTTAGCTTACAAAAACTTACATAGAATATAAGATAGATCTTTAAAGGTTTTGGTAGATGTAATCAATTAGCAACTCAATTAATTTGTTTACAAATAGAAAATGGTCAAAATCTGTAGTAATTCAATTTGTGATAAGAACAAACAATCTTAATATTATGATAAAATAACCATACTTTGTTGTTCACATGGAATTAAAGTGTTTTTTTGCAATAGGTATCTACAATGATCCTTTATTGGTTTTAAACTTTGCTTAATCATATCTTCATTGTTGCATATAGCTTTATATAAATAATTTGCTAAATCTTTTGTCACATGATTATCAACTTTTGAGAAGTCAAAAGTATCAAGTTATAGATGATAACCATAATTAGCATAAAAAAATATTTATTGAATAGAAGAATGTACCATATTATAATAGACAAATTTTTCCAATGGCAAAAGAATTATTCAATCATCTCTTTGATAATTGGTGGTATATGTCAAATATTGCTGCAAAATTTGATTTTGATTTTTATTTGTCTTTTATTTTTATATTAGAAAGTCAAATATAATTTTATATTATTTTTTAATATCTTAAAAAAAATTCTAAACCTTAATATAGATTGAGTTCTTTTATCTGATACGATATACTTTAACAATCTATAAAAACAATAAATATTGTTAAAAAAAAGTTTAGTTGTTTCTTTACATGTGATAGTTTTTATATATAGTACAAAATATGCCATCTTAGAGAAAAGATCTACTATCACAAATATAGAGTCATAAGAACCTAAAATTGGAAGATTTGTAATAACATATAATAAAATTATCTAAAAATCTACAAAATACATCATTCATTAAATATTAGGAAGAAACTTCAGTATTTGATATTATATTTAATATGGCCATATTTAACTTAGAATATAGTCTTCCATTCATTTCCTTTCTTAATACATACCAAATTATAAGCTTCTTTTAGATCTATCAAATTGACGATAAAAATTTAAAAATTTATACTTTTATATAAACTTTATTTATATATAATTTTTCTTATTTTTGATATAAAAAATTAAAATTTTATTACAAAAAATAAGATATGATAATTAAAATATTTTTAAAATATATTTTATGTAATTAAAAAAATATACATATATGTGTATATATATATATATATGATATATTAATAAGAAGAATCAACAAATAATACAAGTCCTTTTTGACCTTCTATTACTGCAGAAACTCCATAAGATCTTTATTGTGTTTGCAGATTTTTATATACTAGCTTGTATTATATTTAAATACTTGCATTACTGGTTTGGTTTGTTTAGTCTTTCTTTTATAAACAGTTCTAATCTCAAAATTAGGTCATCTTCAAAGTCACAATCCCAAATCTATTGTAATTTGAGAATTGACCATAGAATCAAGGTCATGAATTTCTCAAAAATGAGTTTGACACCCTGTGTTTTTCAAAGTTTGAAATTCATCCAAGTTTGCTACAATTGATTAATCATCAAAGCAATTCTATTTTGGCATATAAACCATAAGTTCTTGTGGTGCCCATACTAGCAGCAAGAAATTGTCTTCATAAATATGAACTCCACATGACATAACTATCAATGGGGCAACATTTGTTGACCTTCCCAAACCAAAGGGATATAGTTTCAGTTTGCTAAATGTGTCCTTATGTTAGAACTACTTCAAATTAGAGAATAATACTACAGCAAGAAGTGAGGGATGAACAAGCATTTTGAAGTAAGAAACATACATTGTATACATGAACAAAAGTGAGTCATGGGATCCATTTGCAAGAATCCTGCACACAACCTTAACATACAAGCCGAGTATGTTAAGGCTGCTGCTTGTATGTTAAGGTTGTAGATCTTGCAAATAACTAATATGGTCGTTTAGTAATTTAGTTACACAACAGAGAAGCCTCTAGAGCAGCTATCCAAAACAAACAAATTGCAAATTCACAAGGTCATGCTAACAATAGAACTAGTCGAAGTTGTCAAAATGATGCAAAAAAGAGTGTTTCCTGATGGGCAACTACATGGGTGAAGTATTGTCTTCCTGTTTCATCTGATTATCAAAAATGGTGTGCTAGCAGGGCTACGGTGTAATTACTGAATGTTAAGCTACTGCCACCACCATATCCATTGCAAGCATGTTAAAGGACAGCGCCTCCTTTGCTGCTGCATGTGAAGAGCCAACCCTTCTTTGCGGCTCTCGTTCCCACGCTTGACTTGATTGTGTGTGTTTCTCTGCCCTGGAAAGTGTTTCTTGAGGTTTAAATCACAGTTTCTGTTGAAAAGATTTTCCGGCAGAGGCATCAAGGTGTTAACGCATTTCCTGAAACTGAAGTCATCGTCTGATCCGTCCTTGCGAATCAGAAAGTAGCACCTGCTTTGCCAGTCGGGGTGAATGCGGACTTGAAAAGCCACAATTCCTCCTGCAACCTTGTGGGGGTTCGATAGAGTGACGAGGTCATTCAACACCTCAAACTCATGCTACAACACGCGGAAGGAAATCAAATTACCAAATGTGACTGTCAGCGAATGATGTTCTCGCATGCACGAAAGTATAAGGACAATTTCACGAAAAGATTCACGTTAAAAAGCGGATATAAATTAGAGCGACAATCCAAGTCAAGCTCAAGCCCCAACTAAATCCAATGCATTCGGACTTGGCATTTAACCCACTGCAGAAAATCAAGGAGGACTCTGCTCACTTGGTCAAGGTTTTGGTCGAGTTTCCAGCCATACAACAAATGGTAGAAATAGGAATACATCTCCTCACGCGTGTTAAAGACCTTCGAGCCGAGTTTTATAGATTGCACAACCTTCTGCTTCATCTTTTCCTGTCCAGTCTTCACCTTGTCCTCACCCACCGTGACTCTTTCCTCCTGATCTGTTACAGTGACTCCCTTAACCTTGCATACCTCCACCCCATCACCCGCATCCGCTTCAACAGGACTCAATATCACTTTCTTCTTTTTCTTCTTTATCTTCACCTTCTCAACCTTCTTTTCCTTGGCAGTGGTCTTCGTCACCCAAGCGGTAGCACGACTAGCCTGATTCTCCCCGCATATCTTCTCAATTCCACCGGTCTTCCTCCCCAAACACTTCACAATACTCCTCGGCATTGCCTCCGTCACCACTCCAGTCACAACTCCCGCTTCAATCGTCTCCTCCATGCTCACCCCGACGATGCTCACCACATCTGCCACCGCAGTGGCCTTCGAGTCCTCACATTTCTTCTCTACGATCATCCACCGATATCTTCTCTCGAACTTGCTGTACCCGCCCAAAATTTCACCCATCGTCACAGCCTTCCCCTCAAAATCGCAAGAAGTAACAGAATCTAGAACAACCCATTATCCAACATCCTCGGCGAATGCAGCTGCAGCATTGTCGGATAACCATGGACCAGCATCTAGAGTTCGCACTCAGGCAGCCTTGTGGTAGTGCTTTGCGGCATGTTTATTTTATGGAAAACAACGACTACATGTCCAGAATCTATGACCATGTGAGAGATGGATTGATAGATTGAGAGAGAGGCAATGCTAAAGTGTGAAACCCAGAGTGGGAAATTGGGGATCTATCAGTTGTGATCGGCCGCGACGGCGAGCGCTTCAAATGGGAGCGGTGTCTGTTCCGGTGGAAGGACCTTTTCACACCGCTCCTGGTAGTAACTAGTTGCGACTCAGTTGGTAAGAGCGTCGTGGGGGAGTTTTATGGGAGTAACTTTTATTATGTAACCTATGGTTTAAATATGTTCAATTAGGAGGGTCGGTATCTTATCATTGAGGTGTGATGTTATCATTACCTGTAGCCAAAAATTATAAATTGGTTCTTTGTAATTCATGTCCTTGACAATATGCTAGCTCTAAATCCTAAAATCTTAGTTAATTCATAAATATTTTTATTTTTTTTCAAAAATGTGTATTGAAGATTTTGAAGGATTGATGTTATAACACTTTAGCCACTACCAATTTGTGGTTCCTTATTTTTAGGAAAGCTATATATCAAATATATAGAAGGCATGGGCATTAGATATCATGCTAAAATTAGAGGAGATTCCTTGCTCTTGCCAATAAGTGACAAGTCGCCCAATATAATTTCCTAATGCAAGCATTGTAAGACCAACTCTTCAAATATCTTCAATAAATTATTTAAGAACTTGAAAAAAACATTCTCTCTTTGTTCTCCTTCTAACTTTATGGAGTTTCAAATTTAGGACTTTATATGTGCCACTCCAACACTTTATTATCTATCCATCACTACAAACCACTTAATATCCAAAGCCTAGATTTTTATCTCTAAAAACTTATAGCCAAATTTTTGATATTTTTCACCTTGTCTTAACTAATAACTACTATAAACTAATAAATATCTACTAGTCCCAATAATATTAGTTTGTAGATGTTTTAGTATGATAACACACTAATATAGTGGCATTGATTTTCTTACAACTATTAAAAATAATTGTTTTTTTTGTTTTTTTTTTATTATTTATTTCTCTCTCTTATGTAAGTAATGAACTTCTTTGTATTTTATTTTTTGATTTTTAAAATTTTATTAGAAGTTGAATAAATTTAATAATTTTGTATCTTTATTAATAAAATCCAATCTATCCATTTTTTGTATACAACTCTCTAAGATATGGAAGAATTTAAATTGCTACTTATATTGTATTCTATTGAAAAAGCTCTTATGAATCAATTATTTACTAGGAACCAAATTTATCATATATACATATTCACCTAAATTCATATAAATACAACAAAAATTACTTTAGAAAATATATTTTGTAGAAATATATATGAACTTTTCAACTTTTACAAATAGATTTTATAGTCATTAGACAGTTTTAAGGTGTCTCTAAAATCACAACGAACTATTTTCTTTATGACTTATATTCTTCGAAACAAATTTAAAAATACAAGATAAATTTTAAATTTACATGACATACAGATCTTCTCTGTTAAAATTTACAGATGCATTACAAATTTGAAGTGCAGATTTGAATGATTTTTATTCAAATTATTGCAACATTCTATGTCTTTCTATTTTAAAATATTCTTTATTCCAATAGTACATTAAAACTTCTCAATCAAAAAAAAGAAAAAAAAGAAAACAAAAATATCAGGTATGCTTCAATCTGTTCTAGAAACAAACAAGAAGATCCAAACTGAAAAAAAACTACACAAATTTCACTTGTAAATTTCTTGCAAAAAACCCATCTTAGAAGTATAACTTTTTTTTAGAAACCACCATCATGAAAGTGAGATAGGGTTGTTCAAGATAGAAATAGTGGTACTATAACATAACAAAAATAAACAATAAGTGGTCAACAACAACAAAAAAGAAAAAAACTAGTGCAGAAGAAATCATGCACTAGAATGATAAAAACAACAGCAAGGAAAAGACAATACAAAATATTACTAAGAAGAGCAAATGTCATTTTCCACACATTTATGATTCATGACTGCATGCACCCAATGTAGCTAATGATGTCAAGGACACCCACAAACCCAACCCCCCCCCCCAATATTGTACTCTTGATAATTTATTAGATAATTAATTAATTAATTAATGTACCCACACTTACAAATACACACATTCATGTTCTGATGGACTCTATATAAATATCTGCCATTGACATCAGTGCATGTATCCAAGATAGTGCTGGAAATAATAATAATAATAATAACAGGAATAGTTTACATATCTGTGATTTTTTCATTACAGATGATTAAGGTCATGGAGTGGCAGTTTCTACAATAGACCCATCTCATGTGTTCAATGTCAACTCACAGTCCTTTCAGCCAGAACAAAAATATACATTAGTAAATATTTTAAAATTAAAGGATCCATTATGTAGGTTTTTTCTTTGCACACTGCAGACCTTAAGAGGTTGAGTCTGAGCAACAAAATGACACACAATTTTGTGCTCACATCATATGGGTAACAAAAGTAACAAAATGACCCAGAATGTTGGGCTCAAATCCCATGAGCCTATGTAAACAAAAGCAAGTGTAGCAAATTCAACTAAGAGGTTTAAGATTGCCTGAGGAGGTACATTTTCATGGAGTGTTAAATGCATTAAAAAGTTGTATTTGGGATAATTTTTTGTGGAAACATGTATCACCAATCAATTACCATTGCTCAAAGCTGTCAGTCATTGTAATTTGCTAATTTGATGACCTTGTGGTAATAGATGAGGGTCTGAACACATCATCATCAATGAACAATATAAAAGTAACAATTTCCAAGCAACAAGCTATCAACTCTCCTAAGAAAAGTTTTAGCATCTCCAACATTTTCTAATTTAGGTTTCAAATACCAACACTTGAAAAGATCTGCAAGCATAAACTCAACCATAGATTGGATAGTTGGCCTCTCTAAAGTATTCAACTGGGTGCTACATGAACGTGATTAGAGAAGTGAGGAAGGGCTAAACATCTGAATTACTAAAACTTATTAAAACGCTGGCCTACCTCCCTGCTACATGAACATGCTACAACGTAAATTTCAACATTGCTAAGTTGTATTGGTGATAGTTTCTCCCTTGGTCTACCTCACCAGCGCCTTATCAATAGCTCCAGCTGGATTCTATTCGTAGTCACCGATGGATGCAAGCTGTTTGCCTTTAACCTCTTCAGTGTGTCTGAGGCATTGAATCTGATTTACAAAAAAGATTTCAACTCCTCCGCAAGTGTGCACAAAAGTAAAGAGGGCAGAAATTCCAAGGAGGCACATTGAACAAAAATTTCAAGATGAGCTATCGAGCACTACTTCAGGTTTGAAGGACCACAGACAATGATATGCGAGCTGACCTTGGCATGTTCCAATCTCAGCGATACCATGCACAATGCCAGTACTGCAGATCAGCCCTCCCTTCCCAGCGAGCTGAAAGCCTTGCTCAGAGACGGAACAATTTGCGCGAAGTGGATATGTTGCAGTGTATACTCAGCCTCCTGTGAACAGGTCGGACTAGGGGAATAGTATGGAGATCCCAGTTAGTGTCCTATAGCCTATGCGTAGAAAGTAGAGTTCGAGATGCAGAAGAATGTCTTCTCACCCACACATCGCAACGAGTGCAACACTGGTCAGAAAAGTCGAGAAAAAAATTTCGCGATGGAGTAAGAACACCATACCAAGGAAAAACTGATGCTCGAGGCTCAAAACTATCGATACAATACAGAGCATACAAAGTTTGTATATCAAAACTGTCATTCAAGTCACAAGTGGTCTTCAATCTCCCCCAGCTCTAACCTCCACTGCCATATTTAGTCATAGAATATGACAATAGACGACTACATTTGAACTTGTATTGAACAAGTTTACTAGAGTTCAAATGAATTATAGCCTCTATGAGAGAAAAATGGACTTGGTGTAAGTAGGTAAATAGTGGATATGCCCAGATTTAGAATGAAAAGATTCTAAACTAGTTTAAGAAACTTAGCATATGTGGGGAGTATTAGTGACTATGGGGATTCAAAGATGTTAAGATTTGATGAAGTCAATAAATCAAGCTTTAGATTGTTGAAGTGTGGTAGGGGCATTTTAGGGCTCAAATATAATTTCCAGACCATGAAATAAGAAATGATAGATCAGAAAATCATTTCAATATACTGTTTCATTCTTTACTGCTAATATCTTGTTTAAAATTGTACTGTTCATGGAGCTCACATGATTTAGAAAACATTCTTTTAATTAATTGTTGCTGTTAATCTCCCCTCAAGAAAAGTCCATAACACCAAAAAGGCAAACAAGACCCCAAAGTATGTTGCGTTAATTGCCGTAGGCTACCGAAGGGATGCTATTGCCAAGTTGGTGTAAGGTCATTTCCAGATATACCGAGGTATCCATCTCAACCTCAAGACGTCAGCATTTGCATGTACAAAAATGTGTCCAAACAGCGGTAGAAACAAATGATGTCTATAATCCAAGTTCCAACCCATTAATACTGGCAAATTCCTTTGTCGTGTGCAGGGCTTCTGAATTTCTTCTCCACCGTTAGGTTTGCACGTCTTACACCACAAAGGCACCATTAACTTCCAGATGTAGAGCAAGCAGCACCTGATACACACTGAAGCTGTTATGAAACACAACTTTAGGTCAGAATAGTCAGCCCCTCATATGCATTTATAAACAAACAACCCTTACGCCCACAAAAACTGGGAAGCTTACGGCTCACCAACAACATAGAAAGCAGATCATTCCCATTGAGGGTTCGACTTGCAAAATTTGTGAATTCAAGGCTTGCCATAGCAAGCAACCATATAACGGCACACATCATGGCCCAGATAATCTCCAGGCTCTTTTAACATTCATCTTGTGATTGTTGGGCCCACGAACCCACACATATAGAGACCTTGATGGCCAGACCAGGTTTTGCCTTCGTGAAAACTTTGTAGTATTCGAACACACAGAGTTGCTTGATACCTAAACCTTGGGAGAAACGGTCCAAGACTTCGTCAAACTCCACTATATGTTTCTATCATTGTAAAATTCCCGTGGAAGGTAGTCTCGTAAGATAGTAACACTACATATTTTCCTGCAAGCAGTTCTTAACAGTCGATCGACCTTCCGATGGATATAGAAAACTTGGACTAAGGAACCCACAACCAGGAACCCCAATAGTAATGAATACCAATTACACAGCCAAATAAACATACTCAACGAGAATGCACTACCCCATTTTCCCGCAAATACTCCACAAACTCGTCAATTAAGTAAGGCCAAGCCCCTTCTGCGTCATAGTTCATGAGCGAAGGATCGATTGTCTGTTAAAAATACCAACAAGCTATTAGAATGTTGTCACAAAAGACTCGATCATTCTAAGAAGCATGTATTTGGTATTCTCCGTCAATTCTGTCCAAAGATGATTTTTTGAGAAACCAAATTTGTCATCCCAAATTATGACTTTTTCATGCTGATTTGATGACCCCACAACAATTGTTATCGCCCACAAATGGTAACCTCAAAATTAATATGAATAGGATTACGCACTTACCCTAGAGAATTCGAGCAGTTGAGACCAAGTGTCCTTTGAAATGGCTTTATTGTGCTTAGCCTGTACAACCCAAACAATGCCTTAGAGTTGCCTAATGAGAGTAATCAGGTTAAGTAATGTCCAGATTTGCAAGTATATTAATGTGATGAAGCAGACTTACTTGCAGGAACTGACACCATGGTTCTACAAGAGGCCATGATCGCTCCGCAAATAATAGTCGCCACATGCCTAGGGCAGTGTCTAAAGCCAATGATTTTTGTCCCTGTATCCACAAAACCATAACTTGATCAATGTAATTTGGACTTCAAATTGACTTAGTCAATAAAGACTATCAAAGAGAAGAACTATGTGAAAAATCTTCTCTGAAGAAAAATATCTTCACAAATGAGGTTTAAAAAAGCCCTACACAAGTTCTTGTAAGGTATGTGTTTCGAACGATACACTTTTTTGAATGAGCATTAGAACTGTATGAAAAGCACAATTTAGCTGATGCAAACATATACATACATACATACATACATACATACATACATACATACATACATACACTGACCTTTTCCTTGGCCCAACTGAAAGCGAAGTTGTATATCTCTCGAAATTTATCTGTAGAAAGGTACAACGCGATACATATCAAAATTCCTGTTCACCCAAGATATGCGCATCCAGCACAGAATTTTACCATCTTGGGTAGCACAATTTCATTTTTCTGAGATCACTTATTTCTGTCAAACCATAACAGTAACTGCCAATAGACACCCCCCCAACTCATGTGTCCTCCAAGCTTCCACTACCTCATCTATCAAACTCGTAATTAAACGACGTACAGTCCGTGTTGTCTTTCTCACAAGCATGCATAATAACGACAGAGGTGGATTAACAACAACATTTCTTACGTTCATCTTTCAGCTCTGCTCGCATGGAAGTGAGGATGGACTTAAGTTTATCGAGTGAATCCACCCTGTCATGTACAACAATAGTTGACTTTATCAAGCAAATACATTACGGCTCATTGACCTGTGTAGGAATGACTGCAACGACTGAAAAAAAATCCCTCATGACGGAATAACAACTTGTCAATGACGTCGCATCTGCAGCGCATGTACGCTTATTCTTTGCAACACACGGATCCCACAGAACCATCCACAGGCAGTAAGCCTCGAATAGCCACTAAGCTATACAGCATAGGAGAAGAGTAAATTGCCACTCGTGCAGTACTAGACTGAAGCATACGAACTCAAACAGTAAGCTTCGTACTTGAACTGTGCTAAAATTTGCAACATTTAGGATGAACATACAATGCCAAGTATAGGTGTACAACAGGAGTATATGGGTAAGGATGCGGAACATAGTGACATCAATAGTGACCATCATTCTCACCCTATAGATTGGAGACCACCAATGAACTCCTGTTTTGAGAACTCACACATAGTTGCTGCTTTCATATGCCAGGAGATTACTAGCTGCAAATAATCAACAGGTACAATCAAGTATCTGTCAGTTGAGATCAACGGAATTTCATCATAAAATAACCCAATGAATTCAGTAAAGTAGTCACCAATAACACAGGAGCTTCAAAACCTTTTTATGTCTATACAGAAATTTGCTGGGTTTGTCAACCTTTAATAGAGATTGTCGTATTATAACTGAGTAATTAATAACGAAAACCCAAGAAGAAGCTTACCATGACGACATCTCCAGGGTCTACCTGTATGCCAAGCAGCACAAAAATCACCAAATTCGTCAATATATACTGTGAAGGGTATACAATGTGTACACTGATGCAGTGAATGGGACTACCTAATAGTGCCATCAGCTTCAATTGTGCACCGAAAAACAATCTCGACATCAACCGCCAGGAACTTCAACATTTTTGAAGTATGTGTAACTATACACGTAGATAGTAATTTACATCAGAACCACAGATACTGACGAGTACCTGCAAATCATCACAGAATGCTGAAACTCCATCGACCAATATCATATCCGAATATGCATCTAATGACAAAACACATTGCGAATTAGAACAAATCACGAGCACAGAAATTCAAGTGAGGGTACTTGAGCGAGAAAAACCGTTGAGTCAGCGCTAATAATCTATCAAGAATTCAAAACAAATCACACACATAATGAGTCACAAAAATCTCCTACATTTCTCCAGGTACCTTTATATCTCAGATAAAACTCTTCCAGCTGTCGGGGGTCTGTGAGTGGTCTAGGAGGTGGCTGATTGAAAAATACTTCGAAAGCTCCTTCCAAGTTCCAATCACTAGCCTTCAAGGCTGTAAGCGCAGCTTTCTCACTGCAAAACGAAGCACCAGATTCAGAAGTGAACTTCAGAAAAAAAATTAGAAGATAAAACTTGTAAATGGCGCATAATGCGAGGTCCAGCAATAGGCCAGTGTAAGGAAACCCTATTCGACAACCACACAGGCACATGAGGCTACAGAGCAGCAATGAAGACAATACGGAAACTTTTCAGTTGAGTGACCAAAAACATTCAAAGCTGCAAAAGAATGTAATAAAAAAGTTAGAAGAGTGATGTAAAAAAATACTTCGCTCCAGCAATGGTCATAAACTGTTGGACCTTGTCCCGATGCCCCCTGCCAAGCTTGTTCTGCACAGTAGCACAAGCCCGTAGACAAATTGAGTAAATATCTGCACACATAATTTATAGACTGAAATCAAAATCTTAGCTTGCATTACTCAAACCCCTTCAACCTCCGACCGGTTACTAAAGTGATCTACGTAGCATGAAGAGAAAAAAATCCTGGAGTGGGATTCACAAGTCCCAAGGATAACTTATTAACAGCTTCCAACGATTTAACTAAACTAAAAACTTGCTTAACCTAAATAAAAAATAAAAAAATAAAAAAAAACGAGGTGTTCCCCCGATCACCAACCATAAATGAGCCAGGTAAGGCCTTAAACATCAAATTGCTGCGATACCCACTGTATTGGTCTACATTCAAAAGAATAATTTCACGATATCGAACTCAAACCATCCGTAAATCCTAAGATTGATGTATTGAAAAAATGATGTTGCATCCTTCCGGAACATGGTCGTATAGGTATCGATTGGTGCTGTAGGAGAGCCATGATGAGTATCAATGCAGACCATTATCAAATACTGAGCACTTTACTGCAGAATCGACGTCCGTCCATGATACAACAAATTAAGCCGCCAAAAGCGCCCATTACATTTCTTCGAATGTATGATCACCACAATCCTTAAATATAGCCTCACATTTCAATCCCAACGAACATTAAAAGAAAACATGCAGTTTTGACATTTCGCAAAACAAAACAACTTCAAATTCTACACACCCATGCATAGGTCACGGGTCTTAAGTATCCTGGCCTGCTCGCGCTCTCATCTCCCACTTGACCCAATTCTACCAGGAAGTCATCCTAATCAAACACCCACAATTCATGTCTTGCCCCCACTCTACACATCCACAATAATGTCCAAGTATACCTCCATAAAACAGACGCAGAATAAAAATAATAAAATGAATTAAAATAAAGTAAAGTAAAGCAGAAAATTTTAAATACAAATACAAACAGATATCCAAACATCGTGGTGACCTCTGGCGAGAAAACGCCGGAAACCACCAGATTTCAAATACAGCAGCAGTCGAATTCAGCGACTCGGAGTATCCCACAAGGAGAGACCCCGCGGATCCAGGTCATGGGAAACCAAGAGTCAAAAACAGGGTATTATACCATGGTGGCCGCGATGGAGGAGCGACTGGTTCGGCAGTAGCACAACTCCAATCCCGTCACAGCAACAGCAGATGCAGCGTCAAGCATAGAATTGTCGAGTAGACGGACAGCGCTCAACCATACCCTAATCAAGCTCCCTGAGCGATGAGCAAGCCTGGAACAAGGACATCTCAAATGCTGCCAAAACAGCGCACCACACGACCGACCGTCAAGAGCACTGCAAACTTAGAACTAGGCATCCATACGCTACTCCAGATTACTGGACCAGCGTCAGCGTACGAGGCTCGAGCATCACACTTACAATCAAATCACGGCGGTTTAAAAAGTGAAAACGCACAGAAGAGTCTCCAAATTTGGACTGTCGATAAGTACGTCAAACCCATCGTCGAGCTTTGAAGCTTGCAGGACCAATTCAGACACTTCCCACGACGACCAGTTCTGAGTTAGAATGTGCCTCTTCGCTGACTCCCCAAATTGCACAAGCCGATTCCAAACCTGAACATGTCATGGTAATTTCTGACAGCGAAGGGATGCTGGAAGATGGTGTCATTAATCGAATTGCGGGAAGTGAAGGTGATCAACACCAGTTTAAAAATTCACATTACCCAGTCTTTGACTTTCCCTGTCAGGAGTTGAGAGATTCTGGGACAAACACTTTTGATTAAAATCTGCACCATTAATATTCTAAAAAAAAAATCGATTTGAAAATGTGGTCTGTTGATTATGTGAACACCTTCTTTCTGGAGGATATTTTCAATTATATTAACAGATAAATTATTTTGCTTTTCCATTTTTGCATTGATGAAATATGTACTTAATTACAATTTAATTCTCATTTTTAACAATCCTTTATCTGGACGCGATCTGTATGTTCAAAATTCTCAATCCCATTTGGGGAGTTCATTCCACACTACAGCTATATACAGACAATGTGTCAATACATGCATTTTGCAAAAGAGGAATTTCGTATCACATCTAACAGAACTGAAAATAGCACTCCAACAATACTCACAACTGAAGGTTCGGCAGTCGTAATTACTCTCATTTTGCTGACAACAAACGTGTACAATGGAGTTATTGAATTTATATCCAACACCGACAAGTTTATTCTTATATATATCTTCAGATTCTAGAACAATATCATGGATAACACACCGTGGCCAAAAACATCATCTTGGCATATAACTTCATGACAGAGCCATTTACAGATAATCAGTTCAACATAGATGGAACTAACACATTACGAAGCTTCGTAATGTACTTAAGTAAGAGCCAACCATTCAAAATCAACTGCTTATGTAACCACCCACAACGAAGTAGTTCAAGATGTACAAATCTGCTTGATACACAAACTATTTAGGTCTACTGTATAAGTCTCAAAATCACATATACCCAAGTAACATTACCGCACACAAAGCAATAGTTTCGTCTGGCCAGAAACACTACCTCTAGTGACTCAAAACCTTCACGTCTCATTCGTGTGAGTCAAACCATCGCTGTAAAGTGAATCACTGAAGACAAAAACCCGTTTCTAACTTACGCCTTCAGAAATGACGACAACGATGCATCGATAGTGTTTACAGCAAGCGTTTGTTGCTTAGATAGCAGACTTCACACCATCGCTGACAAACTGAATTCCGGCCAAGCCCATCAATCCGGTGTGAGGACCTCCAACCTTGGTCGACACGACGATGTACTTCAGCCTTTCGCCTTGCTTGATCTTCATGGAGTCCGGAGCACCAGGATTGCCAATGCAGTTCTTGATGCCGACAACGTAATCCTTCTCATTTCCAGCTTCGTGTCCGTTTCCATACAAGGGGGTAGTCCTGCAAATCAGGCGCCCATCTTCTCCCCAGATAGACGCATCCAAGATGGATGAGTGAAGGTGAGAGACAGAATAGACAACCTCACCTCCTTCAGGAGCATTGAGATAAGCCACCCGGGTGTCAAGGCACTCCTCTGAGTTAGGATCAGCGTCGCCACATCCGTCAACCGTGAACTCAATAAGGTTTTCGCCAAAGCCAGTAGGGTTGGTGACATCGATGCCAAGGTTGGTAACAGGGACCAAGCATTCGTTCCAGTCAATGTACTCCCATGTGTACCGCAAGTGGAAAGTAATCTCTTCACCGTTAAATCCTTCCTTCACGGCACATTGTCTGCCATCTGTGCAGCATCGCAGACCTCCAATGTAACCATCTGGCAATGGTTCACCATCCTCATCGGTAGTGGTGTTGTACAAGTGGCACCTGGAAAGACAGCCGTTATCACTGTGAGCTCATGTGGACGAGCTATGAGAGAAATCTCACATCAAACTATCATACAAGACTGTAGGAAAAGTGATGAGACGCGAAAACGTTGCAAACCTGCATTCGGAGCATCCGATATGGTCGACCGCACCCCGAGTATCAAGGCCGTGAACGTTCAAAATCCATCGGTTTTCGTATCCTTCCAGCTCAACCCCACTCTCCTTAACGTATGGCAAAGGCAGTCTGCTGTCAGTGTGGCGCGTCTCGCCTCCCTTCCCTAGAAAGTTCCGGACCTTTCCATTCGGAAATCTACCAACCTTGTTGTGGTGGGGAGCTTCAAGGGCAGCAATCATGGTGGCATCCATGTGCATACCATGCTTGTGGTGTCGGCGCATGCGATGCATCATGTGGTGCAAGTGCCTCTCAGGATGGTCCTTCGCCACCGCAACCTCTAGCAAAATCCAATGGTGGAGGTAATTCTCAAAAAGAGGGATGGCAATCCCATTCTGATCAACAAGATCAGCATTCACGCTCCTGATTCCAATGTGACCCTTGGGGTACTCAGCCGTGAAGTACTTGTTGTTCGCTTCTCCAGGCTTTGCAGTCAGCGGTGGAGATAAGTAAGTCACCGTCTTCACGTTCAAGTTCTTACACGCACTGCCCCCTTCCTGGGCTATCATACGGGCTCCTACCGCAACAGATGCCGAGCACAGCAAGAGAAAACACCATATCTGCGTTTTCATCGCCATGTTTCCTCTTCGCTACCCTTCACGAACCCACCACACAAAACAGTCAGCATCGTCGACCACATCACTCATACACTGCAACTATAACTGTGAACACTACACACGCAAACTATTCTTCAATTTCAACAACTTCACGCGCGTACCAAACCCCTGAAATCGTCTCTACCAAATAGTAACCTCCCTAGACCCGATATGAATTTCCACTACACAAGGTCAAGGAGTCAGTTTTACCGTCCCCACTCGAAAAACGTAAGCCCAAATAGCTGGGAAACTTTTCAAACAAAGCTAATTCCGGTACACCCAGCTCATGGAGAAACACTAAACTCGCTTCCTCAAAATTGCTTAGATATCTCGAATTTGTCAGACTTTTCTGAACTACAGACCCTGCTGCCTTGACACCCACGGTGACGCGAACTCCGAGCGACGGGCCTTACCTCAAAACAAGGACGGTGTTCTCGACTAGCTTCTTCTTCTACAACCCAGAGGAGGAAGAACTAACAGTGCCTGATAATCCAAGAGCTCAGGTTCCAGCATTATACCCCTCGGGGCGCAAGACATAGCGTGTCTACGGCACCCCCTCCCCCACGAACAACGTGTCGAAATCCTACAGAGCCAACCCTTTCCTGTGCAATTCCTGCGATATTTCCCGGAATTATCCACGTTCAGGATTTCCCAAATACTTTATCTAAATTTTATTAAATGGCACGGAGGAACTCAACGAGCACACCCAAACAAAAAACAGGATGAAATCTGACTTGAGCCTGATCACGCCCGTTTTTTGACAACGATGCGACCACCACGTGGTGCTCTACAGCAGGGCAACAAATTCAACTAAACCTGCTTAAAAGCATCATCCGAATCACCGAGGTTAGTGAACGAATCCTTCAATGCCATCTTTCAGGAACTACGTAGCACGGCTTACGCTTTCGAGCTCGGTGAAGCAGGACAACCACGAGAATATCGGCCTAGATTTCATGTGATGTAAAATCGCCACTCAATTTCTCCATCTCCTTCCGAGTCAACAGAAAACCTGCACCGAATGTCGACAGCACTACAAACAGTGGCAGCGAGAAGAACCTTCCTGAAGCAGCCTCTATCTATAGAAACGAAACCAGAATGATTGAATGAATGAATGTCATCTTCTTTGATCGGACGGCGCAAGGCATCCTGGATCCGACGGTCATGTGGCGGCAGGCCCAGGAAGGGAGGTGGCTGTTCACCGCTTCACCTGCCCACTTGATGTGAAGGGCTTGTATGGGGTAGTAGGTTTCTGTGCCGTGCACTCCCTCCTCCGCCTTCGTCACCGCTGATAAGGGCCCTGAGATCCGCGGCACTGGAAGGGCTTTCGACGTTTGTGGTGCGCTGCGCTGCGAATGTCGCACAACGGAAGCTGGTGCCGAAGGTCGCGTGATTTTACTGCGTGCTTGTCCTCGCACCCTCACCCTCCTTTTACTACCGCTGGTGTCGCCTCCCACGGTGCTCTGTCTGCCTCTTTCTGCACGCATCCTCGGATTGGCCTCGGATTCTGCTCATCGTGGGGTTTGGGGCGGTTTCGAGTAACTCCGACCATTCCATTCTCATTGTGGTTCTGGGCTTGGTGGATGTGTCCGGCTCGCACACATCGAGCCTTGGGTTTCAACAACGTGGTGATGGTGAGTGTGGAGGTGTATGTTATACAGAAGCACCTGATTTTTTTAATACTAACTAAGAAAAAGTCTTGCAAATGAGCTTTAAAGACAACTAAACTAGTAGGATAAATGTCCAAGTTTTGAATGTTCCTTTAGAGGCTTTCTAAAAGTAAATGAATTCTTGAAGTGATTATTGTAGCCATTAGACACATCTAAATTAATCCATTTTTTTTTAATATTTATTGTAGAAGAAATTATCTACAAGTATAATTTACTTACTTCTAAATATGTCTACTTATTTTTTACTACTTAAATTGTGTAATAAGCACACAATTATAAAATTTAATTCTTGCTATGTATTTTTCACTTTTTATTAATATGTTCTAATAATATAAAGATAGATATTTAAATTTCATTTTTTTTATTTCATTTATTTTTTTTGTTTTATTTTATTTTTTATTTTGTTATTTTTTTATTTGTTTTAATTGTTTTAATTGTTTTTTTGTATCACAATAAATATAAAACCTTATCTAAACTCAATTTGAAACTTTATATTTTTATTTAAGTCTCTTATACATCTTAAGTGTCTTTTTGATCAAATATATAAAACCTTATATGAAATATATTAACCAACATATTGGCAATTTATGCATATATAAAATGATTGTTGTTTTATTTTTAAAAAACATTATTTCAAAGAGTTGTAAATGTTGATTAAACCAAATTGGTAGGACCACCTTCAAAAGTAATATCTTTTATTGTGTCGGCATTACCACTCAATACACAAATATTATAGTGCAAAAAAAAAAAAAAAAAGGTATCAAGCAACTTCCATGTTACATTGTCGTGTTATAGTTTGGCTATTATGTGAAAATAATATGATTATGTATTTAATGTACAATTTACTTTGCAACATGGTGAGAGCCATGTTACTAGATTTTAGTTGGTTGTAGAGTGTGGTTAAGTTACTACTTTAAAAGGAGGTTGTTTAAAAAGATTACTATTAGAATTTGTATAACTTTATTTTCTTTTGATAGTGACTTTGAAGTTGATCTTATTAGTAGTAAGTTTTAAATATTTAGAGTCACCTTTGTTACATATTGGTGATTCTTAAAGTCTTATTATGTTTCTTTTATATGGTGTTTAGGACATATATTGAGTAAATCTTGTAAAGAAAAGAGTTAGAGAAGGGTTTTGGTAGCAAAAACAGAATTTAGGGTATCCATATAGATGAATGGAGATGGATGATGAAAATCTCCATTCCTATTGGTTAAAAATCATGACCAATGGGCTTCAAGGAGGTTGCTTGAGGCCATATTAGAGATTAGGGTTAGTTTTTTGGAGGCATTTGAGCTTTGGAGGTTAGAATCACTAAGTTTAGGTTTTTGGTTATGGTTTTGGTACAAATTTTGAGTCATTTGGAGTTTACATGAAAGAGATATGGATGCTCAAAGTTAAGGTGTTGATTTTGTACCTATTGTCATTCTTTTGGATATAATGCATGCATATAGAAAGAAACAAAGGATTGGCAATTAAATTTGGAGAGAGCACTCTCTTGGTTACACTTTTGGTATACTATTTGATGAATTTTAAGTTTGGATGAAGGAGATATTAGTAGTTGAAGTCAGCGCTTGCAAATCTAAGGATAGTAAGTGACCCAAATTTCTAGTGGTTGTATTTTGAGCTTTATCTTGTGCAATTTGACAAGATTTTGGCTAAAAATTTTCAAGAATGTGTTTTTGTATGTAATCAAATTTTGTACATAAGTTTTGTGACATTTGGATTTTGGATTTGTAAGATATGAAGAAAATAGTACTTAGGTGCTTGTGAATTAGGATTTTAGAGCACTTACTAGGATTTTTAAGATACCGGACGATTGGTAGTGAATTTATAGTTGAATTTTTGTAAGATAAAGTTTTAAGGTGAATTCTGTAATATCCGTGAATTTGGCAAAATTTGAATGGTTGGATCAAGAAATATGAATTTCTAAAGTTCAAGAAGAAGAAATCCTTTGCGATAATATTATATTTTGAAGGGATTTTATTATAAGTTGAGCATTTTATACAAAATAAAGGAGTATTTTGGAAGCCAAGACTTTATATATATATATATATATATATGTTAAAGATGGATATATGGAGCTATGGTTGAATTTTTGTATAAAGATGAGCTTTTGAGAGGAGATTGTAGATTTTCTTTAAAGTTATTGAAAACCTAATCTACCAACAAATGGTTAGCTATAATTTGGTATAGCCAAGAATGTTAGAAAATTTCTATATATTTTAGAAAGTCTTATGTACAAACCTTCTTAAATATAAAAGGGTTTATTAGTATAATATCTTTTTGATATTAAAGTATGTATTTGTCTTTTATTTTTTAGGTTAAATTACTTATTGAAGCTCGGCTAATAAGTTAAAACAAAAATCTCTACAGCTAGGTACCCAGTATATTCCTAGATAGAAAACCATGCAATATGACAAACCTAGTCAATCCGATGTTGTTGTATTACGTGTTGTTTAGCTCAAGAATGCATTGGGCACCTAGTTGTGGAAGGTGAGATTATGTTTCACAAGTAGCCAAAAAACCCTAATAGGTTTCATCCATACAAGAAGAATATAATTTGAATTTCAATTCAAAAGCGCTTAAAACACTTCTCTTAATAGACTTAATCATACATAAATCCCAATTACCTTGCTACTTTTATATTTAAGCAATTTAGTTTTTTCTTGTAAGCCCCAATCCTAATCAGTGAGCTTTAACAAGCTATAACATCCAATCCGACCATCCACTTGATGTGGAATTTTGCATGAAATTGTCAATGTAAGTCTTCTACATGCTCAAGAATTTTTAGTCCAATCCAACTTACAAATTGTCAAAAAACCTCCAAAAATTGTATTGATGTCACTTGGCCGCCAACTTGAAAAGTAAAGTAGAAATCCCAGCAATGATTTCTCCCTTTTCAATTGTTTACTTTGTCTCAAAATTGGTGTGTTGCTTGATCTTCAAGTCTTTAAATACCATGCCAATTTTTACCTTAATTTGACTAATAGATCTTTAGATATCATAGAAATCCTATCCAACCTCAAACTGCCACCTTCCGAAACCCTCTTGTGCTAAAAACTAGTTATCTCTAAACCACGCCATTAGATGATCATAAATTTTTTTATAAACTTAACACACCTAATAATCCAAATAATACCAAGTTTTCAACCATAGATGTAACATCTATTTTATGAACTAGCTAAAATTGCTAGCCCTAATTATATTATATAAAATCCAAATTATTGATACAAATCCTAACTTTGAACAATAATTGCTAAGTCCTCCAAAATTTTTTTAAAACAATTTTTATGTTTCTAAAAATAACTTCAAGTTAGCTCTCAAACCCTAACCTCCGAGCTTCGAATGATCCTCTATTTTTCTGTAGGCCGTCATTTTAATAGCTAGAGGTCTGATTTCGACCCTATCTCACAAATGGTCTACCCTCGGATATCAATCTAACCTATCCTAAGGTGTTTTTAGCCCAAACCTGCTTTCAATTTAATCTTTATACCAATTATAGTAATTATTTATTTCTTCTAACCTAGTTTTATTAATTTATGGTCTTTCTAAGATTGTAGAAGAGTCTCTACAACCTAGAAGGTAAAATTATTAATTAACCTTCAACCTACTAACTATTACGATAAGAAAATAACCTAAGAAGCTTTTATAAAATCCATGTTTAGATACCTCAAATTATAATTGAACTAAGATAATTAGATATTAATTAGAAATTCAACTTTGTTATGATTTTACTATACAGTCGTATTACATCACGACA